CGGCGGCCGACGATGCGGGAGGTGCTCAAGGTTTTGGAGGAGATCAAGGCGGGGAACTACGCAGCGATGCTGCAGGGATCATCGCAGGGGGGTCACCAGTTTCGGTGAAAGTGTATGGTTTTAGATCGAGCAGGGCTCCCGGTTCTAGACGATCAATCAGAAGACTCTACGAGGCAGGTTTGATGATCGAGCTCTTGGAGAGGGATACCTTCTTGGCTTCCATCTCTCCCGGAGATCAAACTTTATCTCCCAGTAACAGGCAAAGATCGAGCTGGATCTCCTAATCGGATCGATCGAAACAAGCTATGGGAAGTTTGACCATTCCTTTCCGAGTGGAAAGAAAGGTGGCGGATCCAACAGACAGTATATATCAACAGGACGACGGACGCTGCAGCATTTAGAAGTTGACGAGACCAGTAGAACCAACACCAACTTGAATGACAACTTCTACTACTTGGGCTTTTAAGAGTGTTAAATTTATAATCCAGGGAAGATTTGTAGACAGTTCCTTTTTGTCCTTCGCTTTTTTCTCTCTTTGAAGCTCGAACCCTGCAATGCTCTCTTGGTACGAAGAACAGAAACAAAAGAAAAGGAAAAAACACTGACACGGTGACTCAAAATCAAGAGAGCTCGAGACGAGCGCCTGCTCACTAGTGCCCAAGATCAAAGTTACAATCTTTGAAAAACAGCAAGTTACGAAGAACTGGGAGACGAAGCTCCTCCAAATCTTTAGTCCAGCCGGTCGTGCATAAACCCCGCTTTAGCGAGTTTCTTCTTGTACAGCTGCACTCTGACATTCACCTGTGGAGCTTCTGCACCCGATAGCTGCCAAATCCAATAGCTCGTCTCATCCTTCCTCGTTGCTATTCCCAAGTAGCCGTCTGTCAACAAGCCATATCAACACGTAATTAGCACACAAACAAACAAGAACCATTGAAAGACATAAACAAGAAACACTCACCACGAGAGAAAACAGCACCCCCATCAAGTTTTGCTCCACTGCCGACACCGAGATGAGCAAACTTTTGCTTGTAAATGTCCGCAATCTTCAGGCCAGAAGGAAGCTCCACCCACTGCATTTGTCCCCAGTGAGCTTCCAAGTCTCCAGCCTCGTTGCAACCGAGTACTACGTGCTCGCCAAGGTCACGAGAGAGCGTATCCACGCATGTGATGCTGGGAGTGATGCGGTCTTCCGTCACAAGCACTCGCGCTCCTGCTGCTGGATCGCCACACATCTCATAGGCCTTAAGCACGTAGCCAACAGTACTCTTCTGCTGGGACCTGGGGAACTGGAGTTCAAGTCTCTGAAAATCTGCCAAGCCGTCTCTTGCCACCACCACACAGGCATTCCCGCCGAGATGGACTGCTAGATGGCCATACTGATCGAATCCGACGACAGCTTCAGCTTTGGCAGCTTTCCAGATGCGCTCCCATCCAGCATACCACCCATCCACGATCTTCAGGACGGGTTCTTCCTGCACAAACGAAAAAGAAAAGTCATGATCTATGGTAGAGGAAACCTATCTATCTATCTATCTGTTGTTTTTGGTCTCGTGGTGCCCATCTTGAAGCATGAGACATAATGAATGTACAAATGCACAAGTGAGAAAACCAAAAGTTCTTACCTTCGAAAAGCCTCCCAAGATCTCCTCCAAAGAAGGCTGTGGAGGTGGCGCTTGAGACTGGAGCAGCTGCTGGAGCTGCCTGGAGAGTAGCTTCTGCTGGGCATCAAGCCGTTGAACATGGTTCTCCAGCCTACGAACATGGTCTTCCAGCCTATTCTGCTGCTGAAGTTCCTCTGAATTATCCTCCCTTCCTACGTTTAGTCGAATGTCATCCTACACAGAAAGAAACAGGGCCCTCGTTAGGGGACAAGAGAGAGAGGACGAATGGTAGAGCGCAGCGGGGATGCCAAAGAGATTCACCTTGAGGAGAACGCCGCCCTCCATTCGCGCTGTCGCCCAAAACCTATCCAAGATAACTTGCTCGTCAACTTTAAAAAGGCAAGGAAAAATTTCTGACAGCCTTCAAACCCTAGCCAAGATAACTTGCTCGTCAACTTTAAAAAGGCAAGGAAAAATTTCTGACAGCCTTCTTTCCAAGTTCCTTGTCACAAATCTCGCTCGGTGGTTTGAGCGTTTAGCGATGGCGCGGGTGCGCAGGCTTGCTCCCCAACTATATGGGAGAGTTCCACGACAATTAAACGCGCCATCTTTGGTTGAACCAGAAACAAAATCCATGGCTGTCTCGTCGTCTTTTTCTGCTGCGACCTGCTCAAGCCATCAGAGCAGCCACGACAGTCCGAGCATCAGTCAAAAGATTTGTGACAAGAGAAGATCCTGGAACTTCTAGCTGGTTCATATTATAAAATAGAGAAATATAACATACATTGAAATTCTTAATGGCCTCCCAGCATTCCTATGATCACAAAGCCAGACACGAAAACACAGCACTCATCACCATCGCTTAAGCCAATGTTCATGCCGATGAGAGCTCCAGAGTCACTAAAAAGCCCACCACCACATCCAGAATCACGCAAAAGATGTCCGGTGTCTCGCCCCCTCCACTTGGTGTCTCGCAAATCCTCATTATACCGGTAGAAAGTATTCCATGCCTTACACTGGGAGATCCACGTCCGGGTAATAACGGAACTCACCATTCCTCCTTTTATAGAGGATGATATCGGACTTGGGAGTGACCGCTTTAACTTTGAGATCAATGCTATCTTGCTCCTCATCGCCAGCAGTGAGTGCTTGCTTGAAATGCAAGATCTCTTCGACTTGTGCTCTTGAGTGTCCGTCGTGCCAATATGTAATCACATATTTGGGAGCGATCACAGTTGCTAGTTCTTGATCCCCTTCGCCTCCCACGAGAAGATATTTCTTACATCGCTCAACGAATCTATTAGCCATGGAGAACGCACAAAAGAGATAAGGAGAAAACCTTGTGAGAATGGAACGGAGAAGAAGCAAAAGAGCCAAGTAGAAACTTGTGAGAATGGCAATGAGAAGAAAAAAGCTACTTAGAAAAAGTTGAAGCAAATAGAATGGAAATGAGGAGCAAGAAAGCTATGAAAAACTTGTATTTGAAATTTGAAAGTCGTGTCTATGTAACAAAACATCAATGATGCACAATGGAAAACATGCAATCAAGAAGGACGTAGAGTGCAAGGAGATTCAGGGCAGTTTCGAAGAAGGGGTAGAAGAAGCCGCAAAAAAGAAAAGGAGGTGCAATAGGACTTTGGGGCTGCCGTTGATCTACACTGGGAAACAATAGATAGACAACGTGGGCATCACTGAGATCTACAAGATCATCACAGGAGATCCAAAGAGCACACAGCTAAAGTTATGGTGCTCACTTGGTGCTATGCAGCTTGCGTCTCAACTTCGAAAATGAGACAAGGAAGGTTGAAGGGTGGTAGACATGCAACAATGAAATCATCAAGAACTGCAATAAGCTTCTCTCAAAAAATGGTAGATGACAAAGGTTGGATCTCAACAGTATACTCAAAGGAGGACACTTATATTATCTTTTAACAGATCTGCACATCTAAACTCAATGTTATCTATCTGGATTGACTGGCATGACCCAGCCTTTGGGACAAGAAGAAGGGGCTAAATCCCATCCTCACCTCACAAAGTAAGTAAAATAATGCAATTCCTCTCATATTCAGTTAAATTACTATTGCGGCACAGCTCATATTCCCTATCGGTGGGTGAACAATTCAGCACTTCGTGAATTTTGCTTCACAATGATAGGAAGAGTTGATGTTGAAAGATCAAAAAGCAATGCCACTATGAACACTTGGCTGCCACAAGCAAATTATCCATATGGTAACTTTTTTAACACCTCTAGAAATTCAGAAACATTAGAGGATCAATAGGGCATGCTTTCACATGTATCTATGCTGAAAATCAAAATCAAATGAGATTTTACTAAGATTTCTAACAACAAGCTTTGATTAGTGAAATCTCAACAATGACTTCTTTGATTTTTGCAATGAGGAAGTTTTATCTTTATTTGACAAGGAGAAAAACTTGCTCCAAAGGTAAGAAATCAGCTCTGATTTCTCATGTGCTGCACAACCCCAGAGAAGGGGGTCATTTTAAATATCTTTTGTGGAACAGGAAATACCTTGATTGCAGCTGCAAACAATGGTGGACACATTCTGACCCTGGAGTGTGATGCAACAATGATCCTGCAGATCAGAAGAAGTAAACTGAAAAATGAAGATATCTAGAGCAAGGAAAACAAGGGAAAGAACATGAAAACAACACCCCCCAAAGGTTTTGACAAAGAGAAGATTGCATTAGGAATCAGATTTTTTATTTTGTAATTATGTTTTAAAAATAATTAGTTTGATAGATCTCCCAACATCCTATGAATCATGTTGTGGTTCTGCTAAATTGTAGCTCCTTCTACAAGCAGGCACCTTAAATCCTTGAGCCCAACCCCCAAAATCTTTGACTCTGCCACATCATCCTTCCAAGTGGATCAAATCCAACTTCCACTAAAATATATATATATACATACATACATATATACATGTATATATATATATATGTATGTATGTATATATATATTAAAAGAAGACTTATAATACCTAGGATATACTTACTGATGCTTCAGAGATTTTCACCTTAAAGTTGGAAATCCTCCTGTCAAGTACCCAGCACTAGTGAAATTGGAAGAATCTGTATCCACAAAATGAGATTAATTTGTTGCATAAACATTTAAGTTTAAGATTTAACTAATTACTTTGAATACTATTTTTTTAAGTGTAAAAAAATAAAAATTTATTGCACAACAATGCTTGGTTTGCTCAATAATTTCACTTTTATTTAGTAATTCAAAATTTTATAAAAATAAGATTAATATTATTATATATCAACTAAAATATACTGGAAAGAGTTTAAGAAAGTTTATGAATTATAAATACTAATAAATAACAATGGTTAAAGTCAAATGAATGAGAAAACCCCTGTTCTAGGGTTTTGCGGTAGGGCTCTTGTTTGGAGGTATTGGATGAGATCGATCAGGCGTGGGCGTTATGCAAGAGATGGCATTGTTTACAGCACCAGTGGTTTTTTCCGTCCTAGGATGGCCCTTGATTTACAGCATTGTGGAATGTCGCCAAGGTCGCAATGCGCGGGTTAACCTCCCTCGCTGGTGGATCTCATCCTCCTTCTTCTTCCTCACGCCACTGATTTTTGGAATAGCGTTCCAATTCGTTGGAAACGTGGTTTTCCGGATTCCAGCGAGCAACGCCCGGCATTCATCGCAGTGTAAAATACTATCCAAAAGTTTGTAGCTCCATTTCTTATTCATCGTTTCTTCTTATAACTTTGTTCTTGTGAATTAGGCGTGGATGTTCGTGTTGCGAAAACCTGTCTTTCGGGTGACTTATCTCCAGTTTCGATCAGACTGTTTGGTATACCCGACCCTTCGAAATTCCGCTGCTCTTTGGATTACTATTGGGTAGCAGGCCTTGAGGTAGAAAAAATGGAATGGAAGATTGTTCTAAGTTGTTGTTCCCAGGTGGAGTTTAGTATCTTGAATTCGTCCATTCGAACTTTATTCGAAGAGCCCAAAGAGGTTCTTCCAAGTCATTGCAGACCCGTTTTTGCCGATGTTTGGAGAATAGCGGAAAGTTTCCAGGTAATAGTTTCTCAAGTTGTGGCTCTTTTGCGATCTCGTTTCCTTGCAGGCAAACCGCAGCTACCGTTGTATCCATACTGATAAGACCATTTATTCTATAGATGGTATAGTACTTCCATCTCAAGATCGCTGTAAGCCAGAATCACCATCCACATTCAAGCTTCTTCGGGACTACATCGTACTGTAAGCAAGCGGCACGAGTTGTTTACAAGTTCCTCACCTTGTTGTTTGTGCTCGTTTGCAGGATAGCAAGTTCCTACAACCTTAAGCAGCCAGCTTCGGCTGGCTATCTGTTCTGGAAAGGAGTTTACGCGCTGTTAGTCGGACTTGCCTACTGCGTAATTCTTACAGGCGTTACGAAGCTCTCATCCTGGTTCCAGTTTAAAGTGGTCGATCCAGGCCATCGCAACTTTATCGACGTCTTAGTTTTTGAAGTGAGATTGCAATTATTGTTCCTTATTGTCTCCATCTCAACAGCTGTGGTTTTGTCGACGATACGACTTGAGCAACTGCGCATTGGATTCCATTTACTTACTGGGATTGATTTCAGATCGAAGACTTTGGGACAGTGGTTGGAAACTATATTCATCTAAAGCAGCCAGTTATTGGATAGACAATTCCAAGGCCATGGTTTGTATTCTAAGTTTTTAACATATGCTCATCGAGGACGGCCGAAAGGCTCGCGTTTTGTCAAGCTACGAGTCCTGCAGAAAGTTCTCCGTGTCAGAAGTTCTTGGCTATGGCATTCTTGTCAATAGTTCATGAAGCTTATGATTGAGACGTTCACCTTCTTCAATAGAGCCTTTGGAGCTCAGGGGGCTGGCGACATGCTCCTTCTCCGCCAGAACTTGAGTCTTCGTCGTGGTACTTACCATCTCCGTTTCATGCTCAATACTGCTGCTGTCATCGTTCTGCTCCAGTTTCTCGTACTCCGAGAACGTCAGCTTCCTGATTTCATTATAGATGCTCTCCACGTCCAAAGTGGGACTGCTCAGCTTCGCTGTGGCTGCTGCGTTCTCTTCCATCAGGTCTTTGGTGATGTCTATCTCGTCCAGAGCATCCTTGATACCGGCGAGTGCATCATTCTGGGACGAAGCTGAAGATGACGGGGGAGACATGTTGTACTCTCCGGATCGAAGGCCCAGGTAGTATTCGTACAATCCTGGTCTTGGCGAGTGACCCTTTCCCGCAAGTTTTGCAGGTGCTGCGGTGGCACTGGATTGCTTATTGGCTTCAACACCTGCATGCTCACAAGTCATTTGGTGCAAAGAGCGTTTGCAAACTCGGCAACTTACAGGAAAGAATTGTTTCAAGGTGAGTTGACGTTCTTAGCTCTTCGAGGTTTTCACTTTGAGTTGACAAGATTTCATCAGTCTTCTCTTCTTTGCCAGGTTCCGGTTCGTTCTGCCAAAAGCGAAAAAACAGTGATCTATCTATCTAGATGCGATTTCAGTGGCGTACCTTAGCTTGGTCCGGAATTGTGTCGGATGTCTTTTTTTCTTCGTCTCGCACAAGGTCGTGGTGAGTGACAGCCTTTTCCGCTAACTCACTGGTCACTCTCTGCACAATGGCTTTCAGAGCAGCTGCCGCAGACGCCGAAAGCAAATCGCCTTCCTCGTCTCCAACACCGAACGAAGCTCTTGTCGACAGAGCCGGTGATTTAGACGAGGCTCTGCTTCCCGCAGCTGGCGAAGGCGCATATGGCGAGACTTTTCCATTTCTCTCGGATACAGCCGGTGAACTTTTGCTATCTTTCAACGAAGCCAACGAGGCCCTCGACGTGTTTTTGCTCGAGCTATCTGCGGCGATGTCAGCTGGAACGGTCTGGGACTTGAAAACCTCGGGAAGTGGAGCAGGTGAAGCGCTCCTGCTGCTATGTCTCTTGGCGATCTCGACTGCCACAGCCGGTGAGGAATGTCTACTAGCCTGACTTATAATCTGTGCCGGCGACGGGCTTCTGCTAACATGCCTCCTGAAACTACTCAACAGTTGCCTAGGAGAGGATGCTCTGGATTCTACGTCTGCATGCGCTGGTGATGGTGCTCGAGACGATGCTTTCGACTCTGCAGCAGAATGCAACACCGGTGCCAGCGACAAACCTCTAGACTCGAGGGTGGTGATCTTTGGTGATGAACCTCTGCACTCGCAAACCAGTGGCCGAGGAGCGGGCGATGGTGTCCTGCTGCTAAGTCTCCTCAAAGTGGAGTTTGCACTCTCTTCCAACTTTTCCTGACTGACAACCGGAACTTCAGCCGCAGGTACTTCGGATGGCGGCGATGGAGCTCGCGGCGATGGAGCTCTTGACGAGGCTCTGGATGAAGCTCTCGACTCGGCGGCTAAGGCTGCCGAGGCAACGAGATCGTCGGGAGGAAGAAGCTCTTGTGAAGCCGCGACGATCGGCTCAGCGGCAGGAGAAGCTGCAGTGCTTTTCGGTGTCGAGGCTCGGGAATCCGTGACGTTTGGCTGCGGAGCTGGTGTTCTGATAAGCTGCTGTCTCCTCGCCGAGAGTAACGAAGAGGTACTAGTGAAGTTTATATTCACTGCTACATTCCTCTCCTCCAACTTCTCTATCACCGATTGACAGGAGTAGCAGAGTTGGAACTCGGGTGGTGGCGATGGAGCTCTGATCAATCCAGCAGCAGTGGAAGTATCCAAAGCAGGCTCCAGGATCTCGGCCTCCAAAACTTGGGCGGTTTCCACAACCTCGGCAGTGTCCACTACTTCGGCAGTAGCGGAGGAATCCAAGCCAGGCTCGGCGAATTCAGCAGCAGCTGGGAAGTCCCCGGAGTCGAGAGTAGCGGCGGATTGCACGTCACTTCCAAGTTGCGTCGCGATTGAATCGCTCGTAGGCCGGGGCGAAGAACTGGAATCTCTGAAACTCGGGCCAATCTGTGGCCGTGGAGCCGGCGAGGGCGATCGAGCGGCGACTTCTTCGTTTCTCTTCGCTGCTGCCAAGGCACAAGAGGTGCTTTTGTTGCAATTCGCCGCTCTCACACTCTGCGCGACGTTCCCTACTGCTGTTTCAGTGCTCTCTTTCGATGCTCCACACCCCATTTTCCACAGAAAAGAAGAATCTTTGCTCTCGCGCTCGCGCTAGAAGAAGATGGCTCCTTCTCCTTCGTTCATCGTGCCCTAAAAACCATAACTAACTATCGCGCGGCATTTTTCTCTTTTGAATGCCAGCCGTTGGATGGGAGCGACGAAAATCTTCCATACTAGGAGAGAGCATATTCTCCGGGGTCACCTACCCACATTTAGAAAAGCGCGCCTTACGGATAGGATTTTTAATCCAACGGTCGATCGCGTGGCGCATTCCGGAGTGCCCAATCGTGCGGCTGGGACGAGCTGACGGTACGGGTACGGCAGACCCCTTCGTTCTGCCGCATCCTTAGTGCTCGAGGCTTTGATCGTCCGTCGCCGGGGAAAGGAAAGCTCCCTAGGGCACTGGATCTGGAGCGCACAGCAGCGGCATTGCCAGGGCCAGATCGATCTTGCTCGTCGCGGCGGCCAGGAGTTTGTAGCGCGCGGCCGAGGTTTGTAGGAGAGAGAGGGATTTCCCGGCGGAGCTGCTAGCCCGCTGTGTTGGCGGGATCTCTCCGGCTCCGGCATGAGAGCGGCATTCTAAGGCGCTAGAATCTCAGCTAGGGCTTTGCGAGCGCGCGATTCTCTTTGTCGGAAATCCCCCGGTCTTTCTCGAGAATCCTGCCATGGCGACGACAACGGCCTCCCCAGAAGCGGCCATAGCGGAGGCGTCGCTAGTGGCGGATAGCGACATTGTCCGAGAGATTGGGCTGGTTCTCAACAGCGCCGACTTGTCCACCACGTCCATGAGCGACATAAGGGCGGTGCTGGAGAAGAACTTGGGGGTGGAGCTCGCCCACAAGAAGGATTTCATCCGGCAGCAAGTCGATGAGTTCCTGGCACACAACACGAGCCTGGGATCCTTGGTCAAGGGCGACGAGGAGGCGAATGCCACTGCTCCGGCGCAGGAGGAGCAGCAGGGCACTGCCGAGGATTCGCTTCCAAACGATCAGGAGCTCGAGCAATTCAGAGAGAACATCGAGCTCGCGATCGAAGACAGGTAACTCTCTTCTTTTCTAGTTCGTTTGTTTTTCTTTGTTTTGTTCTTTTGGGTTCTAATGCCGCTCTTGTGTTGCAGTACTCCCAAGGAGAAGAAGAAGCGGGGAGGACTTAACAAGCTCTGCCGTCTCTCGCCGGAGCTCCAGGCAATTATAGGAGAGGAATCCTTGCCTAGGACCCAGGTAGGCTTGTTTTTCTTTTCCTGAAAGCATTTTTTTAGCTTGCTTGCATTGCTCGTCTCGTCGTCAGGTGGTGAAGCAGCTCTGGGTTTACATCCGTGCTCACAACTTACAAGATCCCGAGAACAAGAGGAACATCATTTGCGATGATCCCTTGCGTGAGCTGTTTGGGACGGACCAAACTGACATGTTCCAAATGAATAAGCTTTTATCCAAGCACATTTGGACTATAACCGAAGAGGGTGAGTGTTTTGGCTTTTGCCCGAGTCAAAATGGTGACCACAAAGATTGCTTCCTTGATTGTGCAGGGGCCGAAGATTCGGAGCCCAAGACAAAGAGGCAGAAGAAGGATTCCGGGAAAGGGAAAGCGTCGGGATTCCTTGTCCCATCTCCGATCTCAGACGCCCTCCAAAAGTTTTTTGGTACTGGCGAAAGCGAGGTGACGAGGAGCGAGGTCGTAAAGCGGATTTGGGACTACATTAGGAGCAACCAACTTCAGGTAGCTCTCAACGACAAAACTCTCTCTTTTCTCACAGGTTTAATGTTGCGTTTACTTGTGCGCAGGATCCTACCGATAAGAAGAAGATCCTCTGTGACAATAAACTACAGGAGCTTTTTGAATGCGATAGCTTCTTGGGGTTTACCATGCCCAAGCTTCTGGCCTCGCACTTCGTGACATCCTCCTGACTGACACAACCGGTGAGCAATTTCATCTGCCTAGTTCCCAGAAACTTTGTCTAACGTCGAGCTTTCCCTGGCAGGTCACAATAAGGTAAAGGACATATACACTATACTTCCTTGCTCGCGAAGCTACAAAACACTCACACAGCAGACAGGAACTCATAGGTACGTGAATCGTGATCTTCCTCACGACATAGTATATTTATAATTGCAGATAGACAGACTTCTGTTACTACTACTGAAGCTTTGTGCTGCTGCTGGTGGCTATTGCTTCTAAGAGAAGCATTTCAGCTCACAGGGGCAGTAGAACACTGACTGTAATTTCTATTAACTTTTGTATTCATTCTTGGAAACGAAAGACTGTCTAGAGCTCCGGGAAGATGAAAACGATCGATAAGATGTTGGATCTCACACTTTCTGGAGCTGCCAAAGCTGATTAGTCAGCCGATCAGGATGGCAGTCTTGGAAGTCTATAAGCGAACTTCCTATTCGAAAAAAGCATAGAAGTGAGAATCTTACCACCTCCTTGGGTGCTATTCCATGACGCAGGTAAAGACCGCTCCTTTCATTCATCAGAGCGAATCCAAAGCCACCATAAGCATCCTGGAAGCGGCCCAAACGGAACGATTGCTCCCAGATCTAAACAACAGGAAACGTAAATTGTGAGACAGACAAACAAACAAGAAAGGAAGAACGAAAACCTGAGCGTCGTCCCCATCCTTTAAGTTGGTTAGAATCGCAGACCCATTCTTGTCGATTGAAACAACTTTAGAAGACGTTGAAACGATTCTTAGCTTCTGGGATGACGATACTTCATCAAACACACCAACAAGAAGAAGAAGAAGAAGAAGGAAGAAGACAACCATGTTTTTGCCAAAGGAGAAGAAGCCCTTGTAGAAACAAACACAAGAAAAACGCTTGAGGAAGATCGAAAAGAACTGGCTGCGAACTTGGAGGTGAAACACATTTTGTGTTTGTGTCCTTTGTCCTCTCAAGGACAAAACTATGTGATCAATGGATTCTTCTTACTTCTTAGGAATAAAATCACTCTAAAGTTTTTGTGTTAAGACATAAGCGCATTGCGATATGTAATCCATGGATTTTTCTTGCTTCTTAGGAATAAAATCGCTCTAAAGTTAAGACATAAGCGCATTGAGATATGTAATCAATGGATTTTGCTTACTTCTTAGGAATACAATCACTCTAAGCATCTTGTGCTATGCTTGGGCCTTCTTGAGTGAATGTAGCATCCTGTTCTTGTTCCTGGGCTTGAGACTCATCTGGCTTAGACCCATGCTTTGCAGCAGCTTGCACCACTCTGTCCTGCACGGCTGTTGTTGATGGAGAGGTTGCCAACTCCAGTTTACTTGTCCTGGGCTGTCCTCCAAGCCACTCAAGAATAACCCTGAGTGGCGCTTGCAAAACTCTGGACAGAGAACAAAAGACAATGCAGAGACTTTTAGAGCTGCAAGGCCCAAAAAAGCTTCATTTCTACCTCAGATCAGCGGCAAAGTCGTCTGCACTCTCGTATGACTGAAGTCGTTGATAGATTAACTACAAAAGAAGCACCGGTTATACAAAATTGTCGCTCGAATCAAATCGTCTTTCGGTTTAACCTGTACGATAGCAATCACTCCAAGCAATTGAAGAGTTTTCTCCCACTCTGCCAAGATAGATGGGTATTACCAATGGAGTAATTTCTCTCTTCTTACCAGACAAAGCATAAATAGAAGCAAGAGATCCCTGCATTCAAGCAGCGTGATAAGAATAGGATCTTAAGAGCTTGAAAACATAACCACTGACCACAGCTATAGCAGCTATTCCAGCTGGTTTGAGTTCCTCCACAACTGCCTCGGTTTCCTGGCACGACAAATCTTTGTTACCACACAGCAGGACAACTTGCGTTGAAATACAAACCTCCTTGAGAATTTTGAGTGGTGTTTCTTGTCCTTCAGGCTTTTGTCCTAGGCCGGTTTTCAACCAGGCAGCAAATCCACCCTCTAGACGATACGATCTCTACATGCAAAATTGCAACGTCAGTGGAAGAGAGATCAAACCGGCGATGCCTACTCTTATCCCGACTTTTCTCAATGCTTTTGCAATTTTCTTCGATTGAGTACCATCAGCGTCCATGACGACAACCTTTGAGGTGGACTGCATTGCAGTCAGAAAGAGTTAGAAATGGAGGGTTTGGATCCGATTGCTACTCACCGTGACGTTTCTCAAGTTGCAAATCAAGGTTGCTGTTAGCAAGCTATTTACATCATCTGCACTTCTCAAGAGATCTCGCACAGGACGCTCTACCTGAACTGAAATTTGTATGCATCAGGAATAGAGATATATGCATATATATCCGCTTACCTCCAGGCCAGTAATGCTCGCAAGCTTAAATCGAGCTCCTCTTCTGACGTCCGGAACACCATCTCGCTCTTTTAATTCCTGGAGTTTTGGCGAGAGAATGAACACCCCCCAATAATCAAGAGTTTGAGCTAACCTGCGGCCGTACGTCGACGAGCACAACCTTCTCCTTTTTAAGCATGTCAAACACAGTATCTGCCGAAAGATCGCCAGCATAACCACCATACTTCGAGTCCCAAAGTAAAAACCTGGAAAGGCAAGCCACTCGATTTCTTTCAGTGTTGCATTTACAAACTTCTTACCCCACGTAAGCACTTCCACCTCCAACCAGAAATATCGGAATGATAGGATTTTCGGGATCAATACCCACGGCTTTTTCCAAGCTCACAGCAGCATCAAAAGACTGTGCATTGTTCCAAAGCATGAACTAGAGAGAGAAAGAGAAATCACAAAATACCTGATGTAGTACCGAACTCAATGGCGCAAAAACGTTTTGCTCCGCACTGCTCAGGGCGTTCTGTACTTCGGATGGCGCTGAGCCTTTCGCTAAGCTGTACACGTCCGATACAGCATGGCCAACTCCTCCAACGCCATTCTTCACGAATATGACGACCTCCTTGAGCGCATTGTTGACGGGAGTTCCAGTCCGAAAGGGACTCGTAAGATCTATCGAAAGACCGGGGGGATTCGACGACGGCTGATCATCAACCTTCTCCCCAGCTCCCTTTATCACCCTCAAGATGGATCCGTTGATACTGTCATACGCGTCCTGGATAGAGTTCTCAGCCTTGTTTATAGATCCTGTGATGGAGTCCCTGATCCCACCGAAGAAGTTCGCGCCACTCTCTTGGATCTCGGACAGTGTGCTCGAGACATCCTCAGCCGCGCCTTTCAACGCATCGGAGGCCTCCTTCGCGGCCGAAGATAATGGATTTCCACCCAGCTCTCCTCCATCCGGTACGTCTAGAACACCACCACCTTGACTCTCTTCTCCAGGAGCCAATGAAAAGTCTGGTATCAAGTCATCGCCACCTTGGGGTGGTGCTTCCAGCTGAGGAGCTTCCACTGCATCACTGGAAAAAATGCCGGGCTTGGGCAAATCGCTGTCACTGGCAACCTCTGGCAAATACATCGCTCCAGTCCCAGAAGAAAGACTAGAGGCATCATCTCCTGGAAAATTTGATGCTCCAGCACTGGATGAGACATCATCGGCAAGTACTTCATCGACGAATTTCAAACCACCGCTGTGAATTCCCTTGTTTCCTAAACTGAAAGCCCTCCACCTCGCAGCAAGCTTGTCCGAGCTAGAAGCAAGATGACTTACAAACGGTCCATGGGACCGATTCCAGGAAATCTGCGAAGAAAACCATGAATCCGCTACTAGAACACGAGCGAGAGAACTTACCTGAGATCCTGGCGCCGACGCCACAACCGGCTTGTAGAGATTGCAATTCACAGCAGCAGTAGCAGCAGTGGCCATGGCGCATTCTTTTCCTTGCGCCTCAGATCATCGTCCCCATACCATCGATCGAGGAAGAGACCTCGAAATAAATCCCAAACGCTGACGTGGAGTTTGGTATCTGGCACTGCCCAATAGGAGCCGTGACTACGTGGCAGTTTCTCAGCCAATAGTACACCTACACGAAGGCCGTAGCATACACATTGGCTAGCAAAATGTAAGTCGTTGGATGCCGGGGATCGACGGCCGAGATTTGTCCTGCGGCTCTCTGGGCCCTCTCCTCGTCCCCTTGTACGATACAAGACGAGAGCAATGCTCTCCACGCGACTCCATCGGCCTCGTACGGCATGTCTAGGACGAGTTCTTGTGCTCGATCGATCTGGCCGGATCGTCCCAGGAGGTCAATCATACAAATGTAGTGATCGATCACGAGATTCACACCAAAATCCTTGAGAATTCCCCGGAAAAACGCGAATCCCTCGTCAAACATCCCGCCATGGCTGCACGCCGACACAATCGACACGAGGCTCGCGAAATTGGGGCCGATTCCTTCGAGCAGCATCCGGAAGAACAACTCTAGCATCGATCCCAGCTCGCCAATTCGCGCGTACCCATGGATCATCGCGTTCCACGCCGCCAAATCCCGCCTGGACAGCTCCTCAAAGATGGAGCTGGTGAGGGAGATATCCCCACACTGGGCATACATGTTTAGCAGGGCGGTCTCGATTTGGGGGTGGGATTCGAAACCCCGACCTCCCTCTGTGATGCGGCGGTGGATCTCTTTGCCCTGCTCCACGTCGGAAAGATTCGCACAAATCTCCAGCGCCACCGCGAATGTGACTCGATCCGGGGATACATCCATGGCGCGAAATAGCGCCAGCGCCTCATCGTTTCTATCGTCCCCGGAATATGCCGATATCATCATGTTCCACGAGACAACGTTCTTTTGGGGCATTTGATCGAAAAATCTCTCCCTTGCCACGTCAATCTCTCCAAGGTTTATCAATCCCGAAACCATGGAGTTCCACGAAACCACGTCCCTCCGTGGCATTAGATCAAAGAATCTTTCAGCATGGTCGAAGTACCCGTTCTGGGCATATGCCGCTACCATGGCATTCCAGCTTACCAGATCTCGCCCGTCCATTTTCCTAAAGGTAATTTCCGACTGTTCGATCTGGCCATTTTGTCCGTACGCCGCGACCATCACGTTCCAAGAAAATATTGTCCACTTACACATTCTTGAGAATAGGGTTCTTGAGGAGTCCAGGTCGCCATTCTGGGCAAACGCAGCGATCAAGATGTGCCAAGACACAATGTCCGCCTTTGGTAGATCTTCGAAGAGCTCCTTCGCGGCGACCATATCGCGCGCCTCGGCCTCGGCGGTAAGAATCGCGTTCCAAGAAACGATGTCGGTCGCAGGAAATCTCTCAAACAGGCCTTTGGCATCGAGTAAGCGGCCGATCTGGACGAATCCGGAGATCGTCGCGTTCCAGGACACCAGATCCCGCTCAGGCATCGCGTCCAAGCAGCGCGTCGCCTGGTCCATGTCCCCGATCGATGCGTAGGCCGTCAGGATCGCGTTCCAGGAAACGATATTTCGGCACGGCATCCTCAAGAACATCGTTCTTGCCCAGTCCAGCTCCTGGTTCTCGGCGTAGCAAGTGATCAGGATCGTCCAGGAGAAGACATTGGTCTCGGGCGAGAGATCGAAGAGAAATTTCGCCCGAGGCAGCTCGCCGCTCTCGGCATAGGCAGCGACGATCGCGTTCCAAGACACGACGTTCCTGAGCGGCATCCGGTCGAAGATCTGGCAGGCCTGGAGGAGATCGTCGTGCTGCGCGCACGCCGTGACGATGAAATTCCAGGACGTGACATTCCTCTCCCTCATCGCATCGAAGATGGCCAGGGCGCGGCGGAGATCTCCGCTGTGGATGTAGGCAACGAGCATCGCGTTCCAGGACACCACATCCCTCTCCAGCATCGACGAGAAGATCCTCTCGGCGTCATGGATCTCGCAGCTCTGGGCACAGGCCGTGAGCATCGAGTTCCAGGACACGAGATTCCGGCACGGCATTCGCTGGAACAGCGCCCCAGCGTGGTGGAATCCAGCGGATTGGAGCGTGGCAGCGAGAAGGATCGTCCAGGAGTAGACATTGCGATCGATGATCCTTTCGAAGGCAGCGCGGGCGTCTTGGATGCTGCCACAGTCGCCATACATTCTCACCAGGAGATTGCCCAGGTAGGTGTGGCGATCGAAGCCATAGCTGGCGAGATGCCCGTGCAGGTCCCTAGCGTCTTGGAGAGACTTGAGGCTCCCACACTCGCGGATCCTTGAGGCATATGCCTCGATCGTATACATTCTCCGGCTCTTTCTAACCTGAAGTTTATTGGTTATGGTGACCACATGAAGGCTTATAAGCTCAACAGCCTTTCCAGTTCAAAAATCCTTCACAGTCGTGATGTGATCTTTGATGAGCCTCGGACTTATCCTACTCCCAGTCTTCCCACAGCCATCGAGCCCCCAGTCAAGCGTCAACAGTTTGAGGCAATTAACAGTGATGGAGCACTTGTAGCACTATTCGGCATTGGAAATGGAACTCCACTCTTACTACTGGACACCAGCGGCATCCAGGCACAGGTGATGCAGCCTCGGGAGTGCATGACCTTGCTAAGGCAGGAATAGGGGAGTTAGGCTTAGGTGGGAGTACTTCGCATCCTCAACCTCACAGATCTACCAAACTCCACAAGCTCAAGCTAGGGAGCATGCCCAGATTGATCCTAGCAACTCCGATGCTTTTTACTATCCTTCTGCTCTTCCAACATTAAAGCAAACCATCCTCAAGCTTCCTCCCCAGTTTTTCAACTACTCTTCTCCGAAGGGCAAGATATTCTAGCCCCCAAGAATTTGCATGAAAGCTTTCTCCAGTCCAAAGTGATAGCAGCGACAGGCAGCTGCAAATTTGGAGTACTCATCCCTGATGGAGAATGATACTTCAGAGCTTGTTGATTTACCAAGTTAGGAACCAATCAAGATGATGTGAATTTTTCACATGGACAGTAGTGTTGTCAAATATAAGGCCAGATTAGTAAGAAAAGGTTATTCTCAGATTACAATGAAATGTTCTCTCTAGTTGTGAAGATGCCTCCATCTGCATGCTACTTAATCTTGCTGCCCAAGAGCATTCAAAGTGGAGCAGCTTGATGTCACTACACCATTTCTCTATAGCAATTTCAATGAGGAAGTTTATGTTCTTCAGCCAGAAGGATATATTGTCCCAGGCCAGGAGCGCCAGGAGTGCTTAAGAAGGCTTTATATGGACTGAAGCAATCTCCAAGGCAGTGGTATACCAAGACGATTAGTTATCTCCTTTCAATTGGCTTTCTTTAACACTTCAAGTGACACAAATGTCTATTTAGGCAAGTTAAAGGTTTGATTTGCTCTATATGTGGATGACTGTCTCCTCTTTGGTCCCACAAGAAAAATGTCATAGCAGTTTAAATGTGAGCTTCAAGCACGCTTCAAGATGGTGGATCTCAGCCTTGCTTGTTTTTGCTTAGTCATTAAGATCTCAGGTAATGCAGCTCAATTCAGCATTAAGATTTCAGCATAAGGATATAGAGGAGATCCTTGCTAAGTTTGCATTAGCCAAGTTGAAGCCCATGGAAGCTACACTTCATCTCAGCATGACACAAGCACCTCAAACACTTGAAAAACATGCATAGTAGTCTAGTGTATTTTATGGTGTCTATACATCTATACCTAGTGGTTGCAGAAAGGTGCCTTGTGCCACATGGCTCGCCCATGTGGAGAGACATGAGTTTTCACTAATTCATTATATTATACAAAAGGTTGATTTTAATTATTTTGAATGGGGATTAATTGACTAGTCAACTGTGATTATTGATTAGCCGTAAAAGTATTAAATAGTCAATTGGTTCACAAACTTTTTTTGATTGATGTCAAAAAAGTATTTGTAAATTTCTCCACAAACATTCAATAAGTTTATTCTTGAACATGAAGAAGAATGTTTAAAACATTACATGCTTCAATGTAATACTCAGAAATTTTAGCAAAATGTACCTTAATTCATTTTGGAAAACCATCATAGTTAAACATTTAATGCTAAGCTCCTTTGCAAGAAGCAAGATAAGGAAGTGGACAATACAAGCAAGTTGGGCAACATGGGATCATGCCCAATTAGGTACCATTATTCAACTGTGCTAGAATTGCTAAATGCCATTGTTCAATTGCTAGAATTTAATTGTTCTTAACTTGCATTTTAGGGCACAAATTAAGTTTTTGTACGGAGGGTGGTCAGTCTCCCGGCCAAACACAGTCACGACCAACAATGCATATGCATTTCCATTGTACAATTTCACCTTTCGTTAGATGGTATTGGAGCAATGCCTAGAGAGCAAGAAGAATTTGAAACCGTGGGATCAGGGCAACACTTGGTAGGGTGAATCAGGGCCATATGGGACGACTAAGAACCTGGACCTAAACTTGAACGACTGGGATTGGGTGTTGGCACCCATGGCAGCCACTGTTCCTACAAATCTGCCTCCAAATCCACCACCTCAAATCCGACTGTGCACCAAATCTCTTCAACATCCCATTGCATTTTTCTATAGAAGCAGTTTCATGCACTGGTGATGGCTGAAGGGGACAACCTCAAAGATCATCTTGCTACTGTGCAAACAATCCTAGATGATCTGAAGGATGGGGAAGCAAATATAGAGGATGAAGAAGAAGCAGAGTTGGTGCTCGTCACCCTTCCTCCATCCTTTATGCTTGCTCCCACATCCTTAAGATCATTTAGGATTGTTTGCACAGCAGCAAGATGATCCTTGAGGTCGTCCTCCAGCCATCACCAGTGCATGAAGCTGCTTCCATAGAAAAATGTGATGGGATGTTGAAGGGATTTGGTAAGTCTGTTTCATGGCCTCCCATGCTTCCTTTGCACCCTTGCACCAATGCAATGGAATTCTTGCCCCTCCAGCACTGCGTGGAATTTGCCCAAAGCTCTCTGGTCCTTGCGATACTTGGCAGTTTCATAGATGACTACAGTCGTCACACTATGATCTACCCTATGGCTCGCAAATCCCAATCGTTACACTACTTCCAGACTGGGAGAAAC